TGTCCATCGGCGGATGTTGACTGTTTCATGGCATGTTAAGCCGAGGCCATGATGTACTCTGTGTTTCTACTTTTTCCGCTACACTAGCGAAGACGTCACGGCACATGGGATCTCGATGAGATGTTGAATGTGACATTTCCAGTATGAAACCCTTCAGGTTTTTGAGTGTCCAAACACCATCGTACGATTTAGACGAGCCTAACTCCAGCATCGCCGATGGTGTTGTGCATCCTAACGAGTTACGAAACAATATTGGTTGCGATTCGGTGATTAGACCGGGGCGACCTCCCGGCGCGCTCTGCCCTGCATGGTTGTAACGAGTAATCTGCGATCCGAGCTCAATCGGTGATCTGAGGTTGGAAGTGGCATCACCCCACCGTGAGAGTGAAAAATGTTGGAGCAAGCAGTCATGGTCAGCGGTTGTCCCAGGTCAAAGCCCCTGAGGATCCAGGCGTAATAAGACCCTTTTCGTATGCTTGTCGGAGGGAGTCAGCTGCATGCCTGTCGTGAGATGCATTAACGAGTGTTCCAGCTGGACCCTTTATTGCGATGGCCCTCTCGATTGCGATGCTGGCAGCGATGAGGGCGGCACAGTGGGAGTCTTGTGCCCGCCAATCATGGCGGCAGGGTGTCTGAGCCGAACAACCAAGGACAGATCAGGGTCCAGGAAATCGATTGCGCTTCCCAGCCGTTGCCAGCACCGTGCAAGAGTGACCTCATCCAGCGAGGGGACACGGGGAGTGTGCGTCAGGAGAGGGCCGGCTAGCATTTGCAATCTCGATGGATGCTGTGGCCATGTAGGAGAGTGCGTGTGGCTGGTGAGGCTCTAGCGGCAGCGTGTCAACGGTTCGTGCCGCCACGGTTCTGCTGTGATGGGAAGCCATGGTGTGAAGAGGGTCTGGACCATCTCTATGCCGTGCAGCACTGGCAGCAACTGTCAGACGCGGATCTAGACGGTGGCAAGTGTAGATGTGTGCGGGCGGTTGCATGTTGTTCGCAGTGCGGCAGTGCTGCTAGAAGGTTGTGTTCTCCGGAGAAGCATAGGAGAGGACGACCATCACAGATATGGAGAGCCATCGAGACGGCAGGGTCAACGGGCGGAACAGAAGGGCGATGGTCTCCCTCCTGGGCGATGGTGGGCTGGAGATCAAGGCCCATCGTCGATTGCCGGTAGTTGGTGCGCTAGGCCCGAACGCCACACTTCCTCTTCGCGGCCAGGTACCCTCGATCTCCAGCTGCAGTCTTGGCAGCTTGGAAATCGAGAGCATCGACATGCTTACCCACATCAAGATCGATGCCCATCATGGCTCACCTGCACAAACCAGCGCCGAGAGAGCCCACAACTCTCTTCAGCCATCTTTCAATTTGCACGCCGAAACTGCCCTCCCACCATACGACGACGCCGCTACCAGCACCCTACATACCATTCGAACCACCGCCGCGGAAGCGTCTGATCCATTCGAGCCTGGGCACAACAGCCTCCCGGTCTACAATATACGCACACCTTGGACATTTGATCGCTAGCGGCCTGACATTCACCATCATCCACATGGGGAGCATCCTGCCTGTCTAGCCCCCAACTCTCACCCGCCTCTCTCCACCCGCCATGAACGACCGCCCGGGAACCATTCCCATGGCTGCGCGTTCCCACCCACGCCGCCCGCCAGCCCACCGCTCCGTCTCTCTCCGCCACAGCCCGCCGCCTAAACCTCAACCATCAGGACGCGAGCCCAAGAAGGCGCCGACTGCTGAGACGTCGCCCACCCTCGCCAGCGACAAGGCCAATCCGCCCTCGAGCGTGTCTCCCCAGCTGCTCTCCAACAAGACCAGCTCGGGCGAGAGCAGCGACGCCGGCCAATGGTTCGAAAAGACCAACAACACGGCCAGCCAGGGCAAGTCGGCCTTCGTCGACAGTGAGTGCCTCCGACAGAGTAGATGAGAAAGTGTGACTGACTATTAAGATGAACCGCCCTTCTTCCTCCGCAACTCGTCTTCGTCCGAGACGCCGCCCGACACCACCCAGGCACAGGTCGCCATGCCCTACCGCCCCCTCGGCCAGATTGGCACCGACGGCAGCAGCACCGAAGACTTCCGCAGCGTCATCGACGACCTGACCGTCGCCAACAAGAAGCTCAAGCAGCGGCTGCGGAAGTACGAGAAGCTCTACGATGCCCACCTGCAAGAAGAGAAGCTGTTCGAGGTGAGGTTCCATGGCCTGCCCGACCACAAGAAGAAAGAACTCGAGGAGACTCTGCGCAAGTTTGCATCAGATCTCGACGAAGGCACCGCCAACGACTACGCCGACATCTCAGCCTACACCCCGGCACTCCAAACCCACAACACCGCCTCCTCCACATCGCGCTTCGCCGAGTCGGGCTACGCTTCCCTATCTGCATCCGGCCCTAACTCGTCAGGCCAATCCAATCAAGACAACGACCACCGCAAGATGACCAAATCCGCCTACAGCCGGCAACAGCAAAACATCCAGTCGTACCTCCACGACATCCCCATGGGCCTGCTACCCAACAACAAGACCGCCCCCATGACCGACAAGTCCAAGAAGAAGATGGTTGTGCGCCGCCTGGAGCAGATCTTTGCTGGCAAGCGCTCTGCGCCCGGGTCCCACCCACACCCAATGCAGCAACAGGAAGTAGCCCAGTCGGCAGCAACAGCCGACCGTGCCCAGCGAGAAGCGACGGGACAAAATCAGAAGCCCGAGGGTCAGCGTGAAGCTCGCATCAGGAACGACCGCGGTGCTAGTGCTGCTCGGGAAAGTCATGCGGACCAGGACGAAGTCCTACAGGGCTTCCGCCCCAGCCTGCATATCGAGGAACAGGACTTCGCTGGCTCAGGTCTATCTCCCGACCAACGACCCACACGACCGCTAGACCTGGACCCTTACCGTGCGCAGGTGCCTACAGAGAACATGGACTACATCCGCCATCTTGGCTTCACCCCACCGGACATGGACTCTGGAGAAGCACCCCTCGGCCACGGCTGGATTTACCTAAACTTGGTCATCAACATGGCCCAACTACACACTCTAAACGTCACACCCGAGTTCGTCAAGGACGCCTTGCACGAGTACAGCAACCATCTCGAGATCTCTCGCGACGGTCGCAAAATCCGATGGAAGGGCGGCCTCGACATCACCAAGCACAGCGGCGACAGCTCGTCGGAGCATTGGAGTGGTGCTTCACCGAATGAGTCCGGCTCCCAGTCGCCTTTCAAGGGTATGAAGACTGGCAACAGCGGTGCCAGCAGCGACATGATGGATGAAGCCACGATTGCCAGAAGGCAAGCTCGTGCCCAGCGTGAGAAGGAGCAAAACAAGTTTGCGTACAAACCCATGTTCTTCCACAAGGATGAGTCGGAGAACGAAGACGAGTTTTACGCCTTCGACGCCGAATCCTCAGCCAACTACTCTTACCAACCCCAGCCCACGGGCAACTCCTCAGGTTTCAGCAGTTCCATCATGCAGAGCTCCTCATCAAAACCTCGCAGGCGCGATGACGGACCCATGATCTTCTACACCAAGGCCAAATTCTGCACTGACCTGAGCGGTGATCGTAACGGCGCCTTCCTTACCATGCCCGGCAATTATCAGCCAATCACGAACCAGCCTCTCGGTGCCAAGCAGGGCACATCATCCCCGACCAAGAGGACGTCGCTGGACCTGGCCGAGCCCCGAGGTCCTTTGGACACCACGCCGATGGATGTCGACAGCGGATCACGCACTGTCTCGAGTGGCGATGACCTTGGCTTCTCGCCGGAGGCCTTGAGGAACGATAGCGGCAACACCAGCCCAGAACTCATGGACTTTGAGGCTTCGGGTCTGGGTGGTGTGCAGCCAGAGGACAACTTCTCCATCCACGTACGACGATCACAAGTACCCACCGCGCCATCCCATGTCGCCGCTCGCCGCTGGTCAACCTTGTACCCCAAGGCCATCCAGGATGCACTCAACGACAGGCAGTCGTCTCCTGAAGTCGAGTCTCCTAGATCAAGTCCTCAGCGTGTAATCGAGGAGAGGATTCTTTCTGCGTCACGGAAAAACCTTCCTAGCTCCACTCTCCCTCCGGCCTCTTTCCTTCCGCTGGATTCCTGCTCCTCTGGCGACGTCGACTCGGACTGTGCTTCCGACGCCTCATCCGAGCCCGACAGCGACAGCGACAGCAACTCCGGCGGCCCCACAACCGCCATGCAAATCCTCAATATTGCACCCATCGCCTCCGACGTCTCTGAAGGATCTGAATCGGATTACGAAGACAGTGACGACGGCAGCGTCGACATGCTCGCTACAGCCCGCCAACAAGACCCCAGCGCTGTCCGTGCTAGCGAGCGCGAATACGACGCTGCTCTCGCCGATCGTCTTGCCGAGGAGATTCCCGCTGGAAGTTCGGCTGCAACCGCTGGAGGCGGAAGTGGGTTCAACAGCCCTGCCGGTGGTGTTCGCATTCGCGAGGCTGCGAAGTTGGCTAAGCGTGCTAGCCAGGCCAGCAGTGGAAGCAGCAGGGCTGGTCCACCGGCGAATCTCAAACGCGCCCGCACGAGCGATGCCTTCAACCCCCCTCCAAAGAAGAGTCCCAAGACGCGAAGGATGGGGGAGTGATGGATGATATCTTTTCAATTCCAGTAAATTATATAGTGAGCGTTCACGTTAGGATCCAACGAGGCGTTTTGGATCTTCTCTTTTCTTCATGGATGGATGGACGGCCCCAAGGGAATTTTTCACATGGATGATTTTGGAAGCCATTTTGATACCCCCCCTTTTTTCACGATATCGTCGGTTGGTTATTTGAAGTAGAAACTACATTGCCATGAGTAGTACATATCAAACTACGAAAGTATCAACACAAGTTTCGTTTAAGTGACAAGTGATGCGCTGTTATGACGACAAGAGACTGGACTGACATAGGTGAACAGTTTTTACAAAAGGGCGAAGGCTTTAGAGACTACGTGGACACTGTAATTTAGTGACAGCAGAGCAATGTGCCCTCCTAATCTACTTGAGCAGCCGTATATGCCTTACAAGGAACTTTATGTCTCTTCCAGTCCTGCAGTTGACATTGCCGTTCGCAGTAGAAAGCCGAATTGCATGCACCACACGCATTCAGTTCAGCCAACTTGAAGAGCCCGGGGCGGCCGTCGTTCTGCACGCGGAACGCGTAATGTGCATACGGACACTATGTCAAGGCTGTCAGAAGAACCATTTCGCGTTGCACTACGGTAAACGTACCCGTGGACTCGAACACACCATCGTTCCGTCACTCGCACCTTGCAGTCGAATGTTCTTAGCATCAGGAATCTGGCCCAAGCCTTCAAAGATCAAACCCAACTGCTCCCTCGCCAATGCCGCGGCATCCTTATCGTCGCCTTTGGCGTATATCTCAAGACTCTTCTCAGTGGCTTCTTTTGCCTCTTGCAGCTGAGAGGCCTTGAGATGTGCTGATCCGATCAGGCACCATGCACCAGCAACGGGTGGTGACTCGGGCTTGTAGGCGCGCAGTCTAATACGCAGCATCTCTTTGGCGAGCTGAATGTATCTTTCACGACCACTTGCGTTGTCTGCAGCCATTTGTTGATGGATTAGACGTTCTGTTTCCCGGTCCACGGCATGGGCTTCCGCTGAGGTGACATCGTCGCGGAAGTCGGGGTGGATGGAGCTCGCCATGGAAGGCATGATTGCTGTCTCGTGCTGAGTCGGGCGTTGTTGGTAGAGGAATTTTATTTTCTTTGTGAAGAGACTGTACGACCACGTTGAGAGGGCTTAGTCTCTGCATGCTACAGGTGGAAGCAGACCGCCTCCAAGCTCCCCTGCAGCTTGCTGCACCAGCGCGAACCCCGCCAAAATCTCGTCTCCGGTTCTCGGGCGCATCGCGACTAACAGCGTTGAGCTTCGTTGCGATGCGCGTTGTATACGTCTCAGTCTATCGTCGAAGTAGTAGCAAGTAGCAGTTTTGATGATATGTCAACAGCGGTCCGACTTTCCGAGCTCTTTCTCCAACTAGCCTCTACTGATCATGCGCGATAAAGCGTACCATCTACAAGAGGACATGTCCGCAATGATCGTCGATCAGCATCTCTGCAAACTTTCTAGCATCGAGTTCATCCGCCGACTTGCATCATGTGAAAGTCGTCACAGCATGGGTGATGGGCTTTGTGTCGCTGGGCTCCATCGTCAACGGTAGCCTGGTATCAACGAGCAGATGATGTATGCGCGATTGCTCGTTCGGGTGTCTTGTAGCTGAGGAGAGTGCAGATGGTTTAGAGGTCATGGAGGTGTCGCAGATGCGATGGCAGTTGAACATGTCGCCATCAGGGTCCGCGGGGAGATTGCGCTAAGATTATTGCCGGCCGTAAATCCGAGCCGGAGTCTGCCCGGGCGGCGGTGTGTGGAGTCGACTTTTCCTCCCCTCGCCATACATAACAAGCTCGCCAACCTTTACCATGGCGGCAAGACCCATCCGCTCGTCCAGCTTTGTTGAAGCATATCTTTTAGGGTACCTTCAGCTGGTATATCTGCACTACCCCGCGCCTCCTTCGCCTGGGTAGCTTTCTCAATTTGGAGTCCGCCCTGTCATGACGACATCTTCGATATAACACCTCCGCGAGCAAATACCCGTAGCGTACCAGCCCAAAGCCACGCCTCTGCCATCGTCCAACCATGTCTTCAGAATACGCGAACAGATCGTGGAAGTCGCGTGTACTCCGACCCTCGAAGCGCAATGCCACGTCCAACAACGATGCGATCACTCGGGAACCCACGCGACAGTCGCATGGAACGGCGGCCTCGAGCAAGAATGCCTGGTGGAAGACACGCCTGTTCAGTGGCATGATAAACGACATACGGCGGCGAGCACCGTTCTACTTGAGCGACTGGAAAGATGCGTGGGACTATCGCGTCGTGCCCGCGACAGTCTACATGTACTTTGCGAACATTCTGCCAGCGCTCGCCTTCTCGCTGGATATGTTCGAAAAGACCAACGAGAGCTTTGGAGTAAACGAGGTCCTTCTCGCCTCAGTGCTAGCCTCGGTCGTCTTCTCACTCGCCGCAGCACAACCTCTAGTCATCGTAGGCGTCACCGGCCCAATCACCGTCTTCAACTACACCGTATACGACATCATCACCCCACGGGGTACGAACTACTTCGCCTTCATGTGCTGGATAGGCATATGGTCCCTGATCTTCCACTGGATTCTCGCAATCACGAACTCCTGCAACGGCCTACGATACGTTACGCGGTTCTCTTGCGACATATTCGGGTTTTACGTCGCATTCATATATCTACAAAAGGGGATACAGGTGTTGACAAGGCAATGGGCTGTCAGCGACGCGTCGGCATACCTTTCGATTGTGATTGCGTTGCTGGTCACTGCGGTCGCATACATCTGCGGCATTGTAGGACAGTCGTCGCTACTGCAGCGCCATGTTCGCAAGTTCGTCGAGGACTACGGTACACCGCTTACCGTGATCTTCTTCACCGGTTTCGTACACATCGGAAAGATGGCTGGCATTGAGTTGCTCAAGCTACCTACTTCGAAGGCATTCTTTCCCACTACAGATCGCGGATGGTTCATCCACTTCTGGGATATAAGTGTCGGCGATGTGTTCCTGGCTATTCCGTTCGCTGTACTCTTGACGATTCTGTTCTGGTTCGACCACAACGTTTCCAGTTTGATCGCGCAGGGCACGGAATTCCCGCTGCGCAAACCGGCGGGCTTCCATTGGGATATTTTTCTCTTGGGTATCACGACTGGAGTTGCGGGATTACTGGGCATCCCCTTCCCGAACGGCCTCATCCCGCAGGCACCGTTCCATACTACATCGCTTTGCGTTGCACGCACCGTCGCCGATTCCGACGACGAAGACAACAAAGGCCATGGCAAACGCGTTGTCGACCATGTGGTAGAGCAGCGCGTGTCAAACCTCGCTCAAGGTCTCCTCACCCTAGGTACAATGACTGGACCTCTTCTTATCGTTCTGCATCTCATCCCACAAGCTGTACTAGCCGGCTTATTCTTCGTCATGGGCATCCAGGCCCTAGAAGCAAACGGCATCACACTAAAACTCATCTTCCTCGCAAAGGACAAGCATCTCACATCACGATCCGACCCATTGGCACAAATCAAGCGTCGCTGGGTCATCTGGGCTTTTGTCGGGCTCGAACTCATCGGCTTTGGTGCCACTTTCGCGATCACACAAACAATCGCTGCCATTGGTTTCCCGGTCTTCATCTTCCTGTATATCCCCATGCGGACATTCTTGATGCCCAACTTCTTCACACAGGAAGAGTTGAATATTCTTGATGCGCCGACTGCTAGTCCGTTCACCATGGAGTCGGTGGGTGGTAACCATGGGCAGGTTGTGGAACCGGATTTGAACGAGCAGGTTCTTGCGGAGAGTGAAGAGGCTGAACGCGGGGAAAGGCGGAGTAGTAACGAAGAGAAGATGGGCGTTCTTGAAGGGCCGAGTAGGAGGAGAGGCAGTTTCCAGCGGGCGGACTAGTCGGAAGACTCAAAGAGCAGTTAGTAAAGTAGCCGGCGAAGGCCACAACGGCAGTAGAATCTATGGGCCTATGCAACGTTTTGAGAAGCGAATGACAGAGATTTTCGGTTGAACAGTACACTAACTGCACATGTAGACGTATCGCGCGATACCCTCTTGGCGCGTTGTAATCGATGGCTGTGGTTCCGAGCGGAAAACATACCTAATCGCACCCAGCTGTACTTGGCAAGGGCAGCGCCCAGCCGACGGACTGTCTTGATCTCCCCCCACTTATCTACTTCCATCAGCCAAGACTCAAGGATATTGCCCGCTCCAATCATGGATCGGCTTTCAGATGCGCCGAAGCCCAGCATCCAGAGCCTGGGATTACGTGGGTGAATGCCGACGAGAAGTTGCTGGCTACGAAAACAACACCTCCGCACTTTGGCAGAACATGGTTTCTCAAGGACTCTGGAAATAGGCAAATATATTGAAAAAGGCTTTTGTGAAAGAGAATTGATATCGTCTAGCAAGTATGACACCGGAGGTGGACCGGCGGCTTCTCGGTGGGCTTACACCTGGAGCAAAGGCCTACGGCACCGCACGATAACATCGCGGGATGACTGATGAATACTCAACAGTGGGTATCATGGACATCAAGGTAGATACCAGCGATGCTTGGTATTGCCAAGGAATTCCTCTGAAGATTCATAAACGGGCATGTCGAAGAGCAATAGCATGAGGTCCTTGATTACCGACTTCGTCTTCCCATCAGCCTCCGGCATGCCGTCCTTCACCAAGTTGTTGCCGCTTCTGGCAAGCATCGCCTCGCTCTCGGAATCCAAACCTCTGAGCCAGCCATCGGTCGTCTTCGCTCCTTTGAAAAGCACTACTCCGGGAAGCGCACAAAATATCGTCGTCGACTATTACGGAGATGTTGATGGGGAGCTTACGATCACATACGCGACATGTGACGATGCTGCTGCTTCCATCGTTTCCGCGAAACAACGCATAGGTCAGACGCATGTCGGCGCTCATCCTTTGGCGAGACGCCATGAGGAACATGAGAATAGACGACCGAGCAAATTCGTTTGGTTGACTCCGGCTGAGATGTCTGGGGGCTGTCTTCATGCCTTTCTTGATGGAGAGCTCATCGGGAAGTCTGAAGAGCTCGTTGTCGCCAAGCGCTATGCTCGCCGACAGGAGAGGAAGTCGTTCGTTGATGTTGCAGGGACTGATAGCAACTGGTTCGATGGCGTTGCTTACTTGCAGCAGAAGCAGCCAGATGAGGTTTTTGTTGCATCGGCCAAGAATAAGTCTTTTGGTATTCTGGGGGGAGGTATCTCTGGGCTTGCGACTTCAGTACGTGATTGCTTCAATAACGACACCAATTTGGTGCTAACGAAACGCCTTATAGCTGATGCTGGACTCTGTTGGTATTCACAACTGGAAGATCATCGAGTCGTCTCAGCGTATTGGCGGTCGCATTCGCACAGCCTATCTCAACGGCACTTCCCCCGATGAAGGCCAATATCACGAGCTTGGGCCCATGCGTTTCCCGTACGAGATTACAGACTCTGAGACCAACGAGACCTTCCCCTTCAACGACCAACGCATGATCTTCCAACTGGCCGATGTTCTCAACGAACTCAACGCTGACAAGGAGGAGCTGCATGTCAAGTTCATCGAATGGATCCAATCGTCTCCCAACACCCCAGCCGACAGTCCCTTCCGCCGTCCCGATGGAACAATTCCCAGCAAGACTGAGATAGCGACCGACCCTGCATACAAGAACACTATCGCATACGGCAACGCCACTGCTGTCGAAGAGGCCAACGCCGCTCTCGACGAGTTCAAAGGCCTAGACGCAGAGCGCATAAAGATGTACGCGACCAATATCTTCAAAGCCTACAAGCAAGCCAAAGACGACGGCATGTTCGACTACTCCGAGGTAGCCTACCTCCGCAACAAGCTCAAATACGACCTCAACACAACCGACGAAGTCGGCCAATCCCACATCTACTGGCCCATGTGGGAATACGAAACCGTCTACTTCCTCGCCTCCAAATGGGTCACCATCAAAGGCGGCCTCTCGCGCATGCCCGCCGCCTTCGAGCCCCTCGTCAAAGACCGCATCCAATACGGCGCCAAAATCAACGGCCTCCACTGGAACGAAAACAACAAAACCATATCCG